ATAAATGCTATAATTTTATGGAGTTATGTTTAAGAATAAGCAGGTACTTAACTCAGTAGTAGTATTAATATTAAATATTATTACATTAATAAATATTTATTTAACTAGCTAGTTTGGTAGTTTTAATTACCAAAGAGGAAAACAACTTAATACTTTGAGCTAGCCAGACCCACACTTAAATTTTCTCTCCACCATGTACTAACTAGTCCTTTGGCCAAGTTCTCTGACTTCTCTAAGTTTCTGATCCCTCATATGTAAAACAGAAATAAAGTAGTTACAAGAATGTGTGAGATAACATATGTAAATAAATAAAAGGTAATATATATAAAGGACCTACTACTTATTATATTTATGATAAACAACTTTGAAATAATTTTTTAAAATACAAAATGCATTTTACTCCCTCTCCACTCCATTATAGGCATATTTTAATTTTATTTGTCCCATTGCATTTTCTTAAATTAATTTGTGCATTTAGAAGGCACTAGTGTTCCACGACAAACTTTAATAGGGGAGTCCCTACAAATATATTAACATTTATAATGCCAACATAAATTCCAACTATATACACCCCACAGCCCAGAGAAACTCAAGCAGAAGCAGAGATTTGCCACTCTCGCCTGATCAATAGGCATGGCCAGGACCCTTCCAATTGCCACAGGAGTCAAGTCAGATCTATCAATTATTTTATAAACATTTATTGATGAAAACTAAGAGTTAAGAGATGGGGCTAAGGAGAAGAAATAGCTCATTTACATATCTTTCTTAAAAGGTAATAATTTCATCATCCACAAAGAAGACTGATACATACACAATAAAATATATAAAAATGTATGTGATGAGTGCTATAATAGAGGTATCTAAAATACTAACGGAACACAAAAGAGGACTAACTGCCTTTAGAGGGAAGGAAAGGCTTCAAAGAGGAGATGATATCTGAGTTGCATAATGAATGAAAAACAGGAGTTTGTCAGGTAGAGAGGAAGAAGGCCTTCTAGGCAGAAGAAACCTTTGTGCAGAAGACCTGACATTTCCATTATATAGTTTTGCAGAGGAAGGAGTGGTGGTGGTAGTGGGACTTAGAATGGTACCAGAGGAAACTAGTAAAGGAGTAGCATATTTGATAGGATAGGAATGCCATGCTAAGAAACATACATTATCCTCAGAACAATGGAGAATATTAAGGATTGTGTGTGTGTGAACTGATCCAATTTGCACTGAGAAGCATTAATTAATATTCAATATTATTAGGTTAATTGGCACAGGGAAAGGAAGGTTGCAGGCCAAAGATCGGTTTTGTTTATAACCCAGTAAATCAACTGATTGGGTGACACCTTGAATTTTTGTTTAAAATAAATTCAAAAGGAAGAGAAAATATCAAAGATTATCTGACATTGTAAGGATGTTTTATAAAACTATTGTATCAGATACCTGTGTATTCTGAGTCACAAAGTAAAATGCATTTGTTACTAAGGGTCCTGGTTAAAAAGACTTTGAGTTGGTGACTGGTGACTAACCAGATGAAGGGAGTGAGGGAAAAGTCGAGGACTCCCAGGTTTCTGGTGTGCGTACCTGAATAGATCATAACACCACTGACCAAGACAGGGAAGAGGAGGAGGCCTGCCTTTATCAAGTCCTTGTGGGGATACTGGATAGCCCAGACAGCAACCTCTCTCAGCACTTTTTCAGCAGCTACAGTCAATACTAATCCTGTTCAGCAAAGACAAAGGACACAGTCATTGCAGCTGCAAGTTCACATGAATACACACTGATAAGGACCCTCTGGAGGTATCCCAGTCTTAAATCCCCATGCACAGAAAAACTTGGGAACTAGAGGAATCAGACAGGAAAGGAAAAGATCAACACCTCCTCCAGGGAACTAACAGGATGTGAGAAATCCTGCCCATGTTCTAAGAGCCAATGGGGAGCCATCACCCTTGGGAACCCAAGGAGGGTTTCTGGAAAGTCCACTGCCAGGGTGGTTCTGTTTATTAGGCAGTTTGGGGTGGTTGTTTTTTGGGGGGGATTCTTGCTACTTTAATGACTGCTTTCTAAGCCTCACCACTTCTCCCTCACACTACCACCTACAGGAAGCATTTCAATCCCTATACATCTCTAGCGAGTCCACTGAGTCCTTGGACTTGACTATCCCTTAGTTACCCTCCTTGGAGCTTCAGACTAACAGAAAAGGGTTAGAGAACACAGCTTCTCCACAGACTTGGGGTGAATCCATTACTCCTCCTAACACCCGTATCCCTTAGAAGAGAGTTCCCCATGTCTTCTTGGAGGATCACAGCACAAATGAGTACCTTTCCCACTATGTTCCTCCACAAACCTGCCCCAGACACTTCGGACAACTGGCTGCCTTAAATACTCCATGTTCTTTTTCAGCCATTTTAAGTGTACAATTTAGTGGCATTAATTACATTGACAATGTTATGCAACCATCACCACTACTTATTTTTAAAACTTGTCATCGCACAAACAATTCCTTACCATTAAGCAATAACTCCCAGTTCCTGTATCCTCTCAGCCCCTGATAACCTCTAATTTACTTTCTGTCTCTAAGAATTTGCTTATTCTAGGTACTTCACAGAAGTAGAATGATATACTATTTGTCTTTTTGTGTCTGGCTTATTTCACTTTCCAGGATCTTGTCTATGATCTATGTTTAGCTCCTGAGATCCCCTCAACCTAAAATGCCCCTTTCTTTGACAGAAATTCTCCTCACCCTCCATGGTGAAGCTCAAATGTCACCTCTACCACAGAGCCACTCTTTATCCAACACTCCCTACCACCACCACCACCAAATCTAGATTTAGTCACACCTCCTCGTGCTTCCATAGTAGCTGCTGGTACCTTGGGCACATCACTTGTTTCACTGTCATCCATTACAGGCAATTGTACTTTACATCTGTTTTCCACTAGACTAAGTTTCCTGAAGATGCACACCATGTCATATCCTTCTCTCCAATGCCCCACAATCCTTAACACACAGTAGGTCCTCAGTTTGCTGGTTAAAACTGAAAAGCTACTGATTCATTCCACCAGAGCCTGCAGGTCATGAAAGCGAAGGGGGGCAGGGTGGAGCGGAGATCAAGGGCAGATTTGCAGCAGACTGCCTCCCTCCTCCCACTTAACTGGTGGTGGTACTCCCCACTGCTCTGAGAAATTAAACCAACCTCAGCAAGGAAGACTCAGCCGACATGTTTGGAAACGGTGGTCAACTTGAAAGAACTGCAAGTAGTTTCAAGGTTCTCCCAGCTGCTATTAGTCAGGTATTGACCTTGGGATGTGGTCACAGGGATTATATATTTTATTTTGCCATCCACTCCCTCTAACACTCTGATACCTCTAACTATATGGGCAATAAAGAGTCTTTCATACAGCCTCTGAATATTATCTTTGAGCTCCTCTGGGAACAGCCCAGCCCCTCAACCCTCCCGCCTTTTCAGTGAGTAATTCCACAGTGCCACCTCTGCAGTCCTCCCCTCTTGAAAAAGTAGTTTTTCTCTCAATATATCCAGCTTCCAGCCCTGAAGCTTTTCCTAACCTTCACCATTCAGACAGGGTAATTTGCCTTCTCAGCTGCCTGACTTAAAAGACATGGCACATTTCAAAGAAACAGGTGGAGCTAGTAAAGGTTTTGATAGTTGTGGTTTCCACTGTGATCCCATAAGCACTACTTACTCAGATTTATTATAGAACTTAGCCATTCTGATTTACAACTGACCACTATCCATGTCTTATCTCCCTCATTAGACTGTGAGCTTCTTAGAACTATTGCTAGTTTCTTGCAAACTGCCCAGGACATAGTGTGCACTCAATAAACTACGAGCTTAGAGGGAAAAAACAAAAACATAAAGTGAACTGCCACCTTAGGTTCCTTAGCCAATTTCAGTGACTGAGTTCAGAAGAAGAAATATTTCAGAGGTGATCAAAACCAAAAAGTCTTTATATAGTAGTCAGTCATGTGATGCAAAGCTCAGCTGAAGGCAGTCTCAAACAAGGGTCCTTTTGACAGGGCAACCATTCCCCACGTTCCTCAGATACTCACTATGGTCAAAGTAGTAAACTTAGTTCTCCAGAATTTACTTTCCCAAGGCCTGGCAGTTCAATAAATACATTCCCCAGCCCCCACTTCAATGTCTCTCCTATATCCTTCTGACCTTTAATACTGTGTAACATTAGATGAAAAATTAATTTTTTTTGGCTACTTATTTTGCAGCTGAAGAAAAAATATACTGTTTAAGGTGTTAAATATTTTTACATGCAACAAACCTGGCATGAATCTAACCTGTATGCACACTTTAGAGGTACAGGCGTAAATGTCAGTGCTGTAATTTGTTATAGGTTTCTGATGACCAGCAATGAAAATGACCACGGATTCTCACAATTCAAACCACTTTTACGTAAATGTGAACTTTCCTAAAACAGCCAAGGGAGAGAACTTTCCATCTAAGCTCATAGAGTCTCTTAGAGATACTGATAGAATAGTTCATTGGGTTAGGTGTTCTTTGAGAAAATCCTGCAAATATTAGCTTCTTTCTGGGACTATGCTTTGACCTTTACTAAAAATGTGCTTCAAGACACCAGTTATTAAAATGAAAGGAACAGTTTTTAATGCCTGAACAACTGCCATTTCATAAATCAGCCCTGCAGAAGGCTATACGTTACAAGTCAGCAGTGTTTAAAGAAAATACATTTGGTAACTTCACTTAAATTGCTCACTGCCCTAGCCAGTTTGGCTCAATGGTTAGAGCATCAGCCCACGGACTGAAGGGTCTCAGGTTCGGTACCAGTCAAGGGCATGTACCTTGGTTGCAGGTCCCATTTCTGGCCACGGTTAGGGCGCATGTGGGAGGCAACCAACTGATGTGTCTCTCTCACATCAATGTTTCTCTCTCTCCCCCCCTTCCACTCTCTCTGAAAAGCAATAGGAAAAAATATCCTGTAGTGAGGATAACAAAAAAAAATTTTTTTTTAAATTGCTCACTTACCAGACATGAAGGAGAGTTATAAGAAACCATGAATTGAATGTATCAGGCATCTGACACCCTAGAAAATAACAATAAAGTATAAATATGTATGGGTTCAGAGGAGAAATATCAACTATATTTTAAATACTGGTAGGAATCTGTTCAACTAAAATATATGACAGTTACAGTACTTTCTGATTATACTATCAGAGTGAGCCAGGAAAACCACAGGGCAAGACCACAAAATGAAAGAGCACTGAATGTAGCCAGACAACCAGCCTTCTAGTCCTAGCCATTATCACCTTGCAGTGCAGCCTTGGGTAAATCAATTCTCTTCTCAGGTCCTCAGTTTTCTCACTTTGTATAATGTGGCCTAGATGATCTCGATGGTTCCTTCCAACTTCCATGTGATTCTGTTATTTTCCCTTCCTAGTCTCAAATTCTTCTGGGAAACTAGGCAGACACCACCTTGCCTACTCCACTTAAGTACAGGCTTTTTTCACTTGAGCCCCACTGAAAAGTCTAAATTCTTCTAGTCTCCTGTTCCTGTCTTCTTTCCTTAAGGTGACGCAGTGTGCTACTAATGATTCACCCAAAATAAATAACCAGAGAAAGAAGCAAGCTCTAGGGAGCTGTAGCTGACTAAGAAAGGAAACCATTTCTAACAAAAGGCTGTTTATCACCTCCAGGAATGACAAAATGGGCAGGACTTATCCTGGCTGAAGATATCAAAAATCAGGTCAGTGCTCAGGCATCCAAGTCTCTCAATTCTCAGATCTCTAAGAAATGCCTCTGGCAGGATGAGGGGTCCCCCACTGGACATACCCCCTTATAATATGACAGGGAGAAAAGCTGAAAGAAGAGGATAAGAGAGAATCAGTGGGTAGAATCTGTCCCATGGAACAGTGACTCAAGAAGTAAGTGGTACCTTCTGCCTTTCAGGGAACCATGAAGTACACAGTGTACTACGTGGTAACCAACAGGGGTAATCAGGAGGGAACACAGAGCAGGGCCCCTGTGAGGTATCCTAACACGCCAATTACAGTAAAGAGCTATAATCCACTGAGGGCTTACTAAGAGCCAGACATTATAATAGGTGCTTTACATACACTGGCTCAATGAGTCCTCCCAACGGTCCTATGAAGTGGGTGGGTACTGATATCATCCCCAATTGACAGGTGAGAAAACTGACTCTTAAGAGAGATTAGGACAATTGCCCAAGGTCATAGCTATGAAATGAGACATGTGGGTCAAATTCAGATCTGCTTGATTCCAGACACTGCGGTCTTAATTGGCAACTGCCTCTCTAATACTAATATCAGAAACTAACATTCACTAAGGGCCCATACGACATGCCAGGTCCACTTCTGGTCATGTCAATACATTATCTCACTTAATCCTCACTTGAACCCTGAAGGGAGGCATTATTATCCTCATTCTAGAGATAAGGAAATGGGCTCAAAAAGGCTAAGTAACTTATGGGCAGCCACAATATTAATGAGCTAGTGGCTGGGTTGCAGTTTAAGTCCAGGTCTGTCACAAAGTGACACCAAAATATTCTGGTGAGCTTACTGGGAGGTGCCCAGCAGCTGTCAAGTGGACTTCCTCTTGGAGCCCAGCAGGAGGGAGGTGAAGGCTGGCCTGGCTGGCCATACAGCTATTAAGACACATGCCATATGAGAGTAGGCCAACCACCCTCCACCTAGAACAAGAATAGCCATGAGAAACTCTCAAGCCCGGATCTGAAGTTGGGTCTTTTTTGGATGCTAGAACAAAACATTAAAAAGAAAAGTTTTCTTGGAAGTCTGTCTTTCAATCTGGAAAATGAAATTTGGCTGCTTCTAAAGGACAATCTGTTCAATTGCTACCTCTACATCAAAGCTTCTCAGCAGCCTCCAGGAGCCTTTCCAATTTTCTCAGAGAGGGAATCAGTTCTTGGGCTGGAAAGCACAGACAGACAGACAGGCCAGCAGCTGGACTTGGGTCATACTTTTTCCCTTCTGGGGGTCGGCTCAGGGCTGAGGATGGGAAAAGACCTGGCATATGATTGACTCCCTGTACCCACTGGGGTCAAAACCCACAGTGTAAAGCCCTAAAAAACAAGACCACTGAATGTTTGACTGTGAGCAACACAAAAACACAGCAGATTCTTTAGCTCAATGAAAGGAGTTTAAACACTTCAAAGTTAAAACCTGCTGCAGTCTTTTGCCATAATCACACTTTGCTCCAATAAACACTCAGTGCATTATTTTCTGAGACTAGGTCCTTTCTTCCTCGACACCGAGTTGGATAAAATTAAGTAATTCATTACTGTTATAGGGCACAGTATTAACATAGTTGTTTGTTTAATGTAGGCTCTGGGGTCTCACTCACTACATGACTTTGAGTCAAGTTACTTAGCCTCTCAGTGCCTCAGTCTTCTTCTCTGTAAAAATGGGGAGAACAAGAGAACCTACCTTAATAGGATTTTTGTGAGGATTAAATAAGACCTGTAAAATATTTAGCAAAATAGTTAGTATTTAATAGGTACTCAATAAATATTCAGTGTTGTTGGTTTCCAGTGAGTTATTTAAACGTGAGAGGTTAAATTATCTTCGGAAAAACTCACTAATTGTTTAAGACTGTGTCAATAAAATGATGAACTTCAATCACTGACTCATTCATTAAAGAGTCTCCTCTCAAAGTATTATCTCTTAAGACCTAACAACAAAACAGTCTGCAGACAGCAGTATGGAATTAAACACTAACTTTACTGATTAGCCACCTCTGATCCAAAGTGCTCTTTATAACAGAACTGATCTCCAAAAGACCAGTTAGCAAAGCACTGCCTGCTAACAGAGGGTAGGCTCATTCATGCACAACAGTGGGCTGCTAAGGTATCTCAGTAGTCAGAATTCCCAATATCTAGCTCTCTGGATCAAGATCCTTGAACACTTTGGCTCTGAGATGACAGGTCTACTTTGGCATTTTATGGGGTCCTGTCCAAGAGGCTGATGTGCATACTGTTTACTCTCAAGTACATTGTGTTAAAAAACAATTCATTCTTTTTTAAAAAATAATACTTTATTAAATTTTGGGGGTAACAATGGTTAATATCAACATATAGGTTTCAGGTTTGAGTTTCTATGTTACAAGATCTGTATATTGCTCTATGTGAACAATTCATTCTTATACAATCTTCATGAAATAGCACTGGCCTTGTTTCTGTTGGAGTGAGGATGACACTGATAAGCTACCTGAGACTCTGTTATTTTAAAAAATTACTAAACTCTCAGAACACTAAAAGTGAAGCCCTAAAATACCAAAACCCAAGGTACCAATGGCCACTTGAAAGGTGTAATATTGATACATATATATACACATATGTGTGTGTGTGTGTGTGTGTGTGTGTGTGTGTGTATTCTCTTCTTTTACCCCAAACCTGTCTGGCCTACTCTTTAGAACCTAGGATGCAAAAAAAGTCAGTCTCATTATTTCATAGTTATTCTCTATCTGCCTCCAAATAGTATTTTCAGATTGGCTCCCTTTTTTATTTACTAGCCACAGTTTGAAACCACTATGGTTTGATTTTAATATTTAATCTACCCACAAATGACAAAGATGGATCACAATGGAGCATAATACAAATGAATACTCTATGGTTCTAAAAGGCAGTTCTCAAACTGAGTCTTAGAAAACCTGAAGTAAGAGTGGTGTCACTGAAAATGTACTGCCTCCCTAGTTAGCTACTTTAATGGACAAAGCTAGAACAAAGCTCACTGAGATGTACATACTTCAATATATATAAACATCAATTTACTATACTAAGAGAACATCTCATAAGCAGTTCTCATTTAAGTATATTTTTATAACTAGTTTACAACAGATTATAAATTGAAACTTAAATATGTCTCATTATTCCATACTATAATATTAACTCAAGAATTTTCAATAATGAGAACTGGCTAAGACAAAGATAGCTAGTAAACATCATTTCAAAATAATTATAATAATTTCTGAGTTAATTATTGAATCAAATATTAAACAGATGTCTGAGGATGAGGTTTTAATATCTGGTAACAAATACTTAAGCACATGGGTTCAAGAAACTACTTAAGAAAAATCCAGCTTCTAATATTAATAGTTTCTTCATCACATAGAGAAAGAATTTTTTCCTTTCAGATTAATTTTTCCTAAAATGAGAACCTGTTAGAGATTAAAAAACAGCAGGAAAGTTTCCTTTCTTTACTATAAACAAATAAGGAATGGAAGGTAGATACTAAATCAGGATGACAAGTTAGTATATTTTAAATTTATATTATAGCAATCTGCTAAAATAGTAAAAATAAACAAAACTTGCATTTGGTTTTAAAAAAACAAAATAGTTATTAAATAATCAAAACTGCATCCAGCTTTCTTTATTGTTGTTAACATAATTATATAAAAATATTTGCTGTCCATGAAAAATACTAAGTATATATAGTTAGGTGTTTGTTCTTTGAGGATAATAGCTGCTACTATAGATGCCTCGCACACATCTCCTTCCAAAACCTGTGGAACTAGAATTGGCTTAAACTTTCCCAGTGACTTTGGACATACCTACTTTAATTAACTTTGTTTTAAACTACAACAGTTTATAACATCAAAATGAATACTCTGTATAATCAAAGGCTAATGGTGGTCCAAGCTAGTAACACCCTTTTGGAAAGCAATTTATCAATGAGATATAAATAATAAAATTCTAAATGCCTTTTGAGCTGATAGCCCTTCAACAGAAGGAAGAAAAATCATAAGGCACATTTCTGGATTAACTAAAACAATTAAAAACTAGAAATAAAAAGAGGACCAACTGGCAAAAAGTTCACTCAAAATTCGAAATATCCAGAATGTAAAACAGGTATGTTTACATGAGTATTCTTATGTTAAAAAAAAGCATGTGTGGACAAGGGGGATGATAATATCAAAGTACTAGACTGGCGATTTTTAAAATTTTTTTTTAATATATCTTTATTGATTTCATAGACAGGGAGGGAGAGAGATAGAAACATCAATGATGAGAGAATCATTGATCAGCTGCAGCCCGCAACCCGGGCATGTGCCCTGACAGGGAATCGAATCCCGATCACCTGGATCCTAGGTCGATGCTCAACCGCTGAGCCATGCCCGGCTGGGCTAGACTGGCGATTTTTAACCAGTGTACAGCAGGAGATGTGCCACAAGAATTTTAAAATATGCAATACCTAACTATTTGGTCAGGGGCACTGACCTTTTTTCCCTTAGACTGTCAAAAAAAATGACAACAGCCAACATAATAATAGCCAACTGGTGTGAATGAATCAAAATTATACCTTTTTTTTTTTTTTTGTCAGATCAGCAAAAAATATATTTTTTGGTGTGCCACAGAAGTTATTAGTTTATGTGTGTCATGAGATGAAAAAGGTGTACTAGACACATTTTTAGATTTTTCCCCAAAACTTGTTAAAATATTTTATTTATAGGGCTCTTCTGCTCTTTGTTTATTCTATTAAGAGAAAAATTAGCAGCTTCACATGTTGTGAAGGAAAAATTATTTCACTAGTGACTTAAAAAAATCTATCCTATTAAGACACAGTCATAAAAATAAAAAGTAGATTCATTTTCCTTTTCAGAACTATCAAAAACAGTAACTTACTTAGAAAGAATTCCTCGAAGTCAGTTTTCTTCACACAGCTAGTATACATTCGTAGGGCTGCAATCTTAATCTTCTAGACAAAGAAAACAAAACCAAACTCAAGACGTGAACAAGTGGATGATCTATTGCCATTAGATGTAGGTCTCAGAACCTTACATTTCTTCAACTAGAAGGAAGGGTACAAACCTGTCTCTAGGCAGTTTAACAGCTAAACAAAAGACAGATACTTCTTTCTACTCTTAAAGCTACTCATTCATACAGACTTCACACAGGTTTCACATTTCAGGACTTTAGCATGAACAGGTAAAAAAGGTTTCCCAATACTTAGATAAAAATCTCTCCTTTAAGTCAAGCCCATTCCACCACATATAAGCCTCCCTCATCCTTCTGACCAAAATCAATTAAACAAACAAACAAGCAAAACCTTAATCCTTCAATCTTTTCTCAGAGGCACAGCTATCTATTCCATGAGTCTTTTTTTCCCTTGGAGGAAAGGTCACTTTTTTTCTATATTTCCCTAGTTTAATAGTTAGCTGATTAACAGAAGACTGTGTTTATAAATAAGAGCTTCTAATGAATATAAAATATAGAAGGACTGACCTTTTACTATTCTCCAAAGCACTAAGAATTTTCTTAAAATTTTTATCTGAAAATTTTTATCTTAAGATTTGTACATTTACTATATGTAAATTATGCCTTAATGAAAATAAATCTAAAAATAAAATATAAGTTCTTTTAAGAATTAATTGTAGGTCTGAAGATCAACTCAGTACTTAACTAAACAAGTATTTCTAGGGACTTTGAAAATATTTCCTTAAGGATACAATTAAATAAACTAGCACATCAACAAAAGGTTTGTAGAAGAAGCTTATTTATTCTTTTTTTTTTAAATCCTCACCCAAGGATATTTTTTCCTCTGGAAGGGAGAGGAGGAGGGGGAGAGAGAAACATCTATGTGAGAGAGACACACTGATTGGTTGCCTTCTGCACATACCCCAACCAGGGCCGGGAATGGAACCTGCAACCCAGGTTATGAGACCTTGACAGGAATCAAACCTGCGACCCTTCGGTGCAGGCCAACACTCAAACTACTGAACGCATCAGTCAGGGTGAAGCTTATTTAGTCTTAATATGACAGAGAAAGTTATAAACTCAAATATGTACAGACTAAAAAAAATATGCACAGACTGAGAATTGCATAGCAACTAAAGAAAAACCAATCTAGAATTTTAGTAGAGGTATGTTACTAAGATTCAAAGTCACCAAATATATACTATATTCAGTACTACATAATCTTCATATTTCTCTATACTCTATAGAGTCAAAGCAATAGCCTCTGATGAGCAGAAATACCCATAATAAATTAAGGAAGGATTATGTCTCTGATTGTAATTAATATTTTTTTTATTTGCTAATTTGAAGCCTGTCATCATTTCAACGCTTTTAGTCTAAAGCTCACATGGGGGAAATAGAACAGAACATGTTAACAAGTAGAAATCGATATACCTATATAAGGAGTAAATCAGCACTAGAAGCCCATGATTAAACAATATCCATGGTAAAATACTAGGAAAAAAAAGAGCAAATCAAACCTAAAAGCAAGGAGAAAGATATAATAAAGACTAAGAGCAAAAATCAATAAAATTGAAAACAGAAAAATAATATGGAAAATCAAAGAAGCCAAAGCTGGTTCTTAAAATATCAATAAAATTGATAAAACTTCAGTTAGACTGATAATGAAAAAAAAAAGAGAAAATACAAATTACAAACATCAGGAATCAGAGGGGACATCACAAATCCTGAGGTTATTAGTAGGATAAGGGAATATTAGGAAAAACTTTAGATCAATGCATTTGATTATCTAGATGAATGGACAAAATCCTTGAATGATACAAACTACCAAAGCTCACTGGAATAATAACATGAATAGTCCTGTATCTACTAAAGACATTGGAT